CTCTCCAGCTCATTGCTGCGAAACTATGCTGCCCCGTCGCTCTACAAAATTTTCAGCTTCCTCCCCGATTGCCGTTGTGCGAGTGCGAGCCAGATGCGGAAGAATTCTGGAGCCTTGGAGCGAGCGTCGACGTTGGCGATCCAGACATGGCGTGAGTAGGCGTCAATAAAGGTGAGCGTGTACTTTCACCTTTGATGCAGTCACAGGTGACCACGATGAAGTCGCTGTACACCTTCTGCAGCTTCTTGTAGCGGTTGGTGATTGGTTCCAGAGAGGGGTAGGCGCTGTGAGAGAGAGCAGCTATGGGGCAGACAGTGCGTATGGTGGGATGTGGAGTGTTGTGCGGTTCCGTCCCGTCAGGGCGCATTAGTGCCCCTGGGGGGAAAACCTTGGCACATAGGCTGTTGTTGAGTGTCTGGCGTGAGGGGTGGCCGAGTCGCTGGTGCCAAAGATCGTCTTCGGCGCGGATGCCGGAGGTGCGCATGTAGTGAGAATGATGTTCCGCTGCTTCCACCTCTGATTCTTGCGGGATCTGGAGTGGGGGTTCTGATAATAGCAGTGGAGTGTTGGCCCTACCCTCGCTTGGGCAACGCCGACGACTTGGTCGGATGTACGGGAGTAGCAGCCGACCGTACATAGTGGGAGAGCTGCTCGACAAGCATCGTCGAGCTGCAGGGGACCGCTATGGTGTTGCTGTCGACCAGGGAGCTCGACAGCTACAACTGACTGGTCTGGGCGACGGGTGGGCTGTTGGCCAGGAGGGGCAGTTCGACCGGAAGGCCTCCGTCGGCCTGTAGCTCGACCGGGAGGTCTCCGTCAACCTGCAGCTCGACCAGGGGGTCTCCGTCGACCTGCAGCTCGACCGGGAGCAGTCCGTCGATCTGCATCTCGACCGGGAGCAGTCTGTCGACCTGCAGTTCGACCAAGAGGTCGAAGAAGCAGTCCGTCGACCTGACAAGTGAGCAGCGGTCGACGAGGGGAGCTCGGTGATAACCGCTGACGGTTCTGGTCGACGGAAGGGGTCCGACGACCAGGGGGTAGCTCGACGGGCGTTGTGGTCGACTAGAGGCACCTGGTGGTCAACCAGAGGGACCTGGTGGTCGACCAGAAGCAATGGTGGTCGACCGGAAGCACCTGGTGGTCGACCGGGTCGACCGGGTAACCTGCTCGACGAGTTCTGTGGAGGCACGTGAACGTCGTCAATGCCGCAATGGCGCAGGCGACTTCGAGCTGGTATCCCGAAGTCGATGTGGCTCGTCAGGCATAGACAACAGCCGACGGATGCCCAACGAGGCAAGTCGAGCCAATCGTCTGCGCGCACCTGCGAGCATGCGCACTGCTGTGTTCTACGGGGCAACGCTGGACAGCCGCTCTGCTGCAGCGTTGGCACGCCGTCGACCTGCTCTGTTGGCAGGTGCTGGCGCGGCTCCTCTACGCAACGCTGTGCCGAGCTGTACTGGCGGTCAACCAGGCTAGCTGCAGGGTAACTAGGTGTCTGATATAGCCATTGTTGCAATCTCCTGTTCAATCATTCTGTGATTCCATCTTTGCCTAGTGAAACTTTTGCCGATTTCTCTCGTGTATGAGCGAACACTAAGGAACTAAGCAAAGCTACAATCACTCCTAGTAGTTTGTGCCAACCCCCGTAGTCTAGCTCACTACCATTGTAGAGTGACTCTACTCAGGTTCTTCCTCCTCTCTTGCTTCTGCTTCGTTGTCCGGCTCCTCTGCTTCTGCCGCTCCTGGTGTCTCCCCTTCTGCAAGTGCCGCTGTGAGATACAGTGCAATGAATTCTCGCTCAAGGATGATGTTGAGGGGAGTCCTTGTTCCCTCGATAGAGCGAGCAAACGGGTCTACGCACGAGATTGGACTGAGCGAGTCTCGCGGAGGAGTTGGTGGTGCGTTCCCCTCCTCAATCTCTGACCAGGTATTGTACCAGTCATGGGGTGAGCGTGGAGGTGAGTGATTGTGCAGGGGACGTCCCAGTCAGAATAACGAAGTGCCTTGGTGAAGATATCAGCAGTGTTGGCCTGAGAGGCCACGTAAACAAGACGAAGTTGACCACGATGCTGCAACTCTCGAGCACGGAAGTAGCGCAGAACGATGTGCTTCGTCCTGTGCTCCAGTCTGTGCTCCTGACACAAGGCAATCATGGCCTTGTTGTCGACGTACAGAACTGGAGGAGAACGAGGCGCCTCTCCCAAGTCGGTCAGCAGGTAGGTGAGCCAACGTAACTCCTGTGCAGCCATGGCCCCTGCATAGATCTCAGCCTCACAATTGGAGCTGAGAACAGAGGGCGAGCGGGTAGACCGCCACGAAACAAAACAGGAGACAAGGCTGAAGGTGTAACCCTATGATGAGTGCTGCATAGCCAAGTCATCAACCCAAGAAGCATCTGCGTGACCAGTGAGGACAACTTGAGCCCGTCCTCCAAGCACGAGCCCCATGCCCGACGTACTGCACAAGTAGCGCGTCACCCTCTTAATGGCCTTCCACTGCTCTGGTCGTTGTCTCCCGGGCGCAACGTAGCGTGCCAGGATGCTAAGAGGGTAAGCAAGGTCAGGTCGAGTGCAGGTCATCAGGTACATGAGGCAGCCTACAAGCTCTGGATACGGGCCACTCGGCTCTACGAACTCGTTCGAAGGTGGAGCTGAGAGCGAGTGACCGGTAGGTAGAGGAGTGGACTGTGGCGAGGAGTACTGGAAGTCGAAGCGCTGAAGGACCTGCTGTACCATGTGTGACTGAGTCAATGTAATAATGCGCTATGCTCTGTCACGGGTGATCTACAAGCCAAGATAGCTGCGCAGCTCACCCAGGTCTGTGCACGTGTGTCTCTTCTGCAGCTCCGACTTCACGTGGGCCTGTCCAGCAGTTTCAGTAGTGGCAAAGACCAAGTCGTCAACATACACGAGGATGTAGAACGGCGGCAGGGAAGTGTCGGTGCGTAGAAACAGCGACGGGTCAGCAGTAGAAGGAGAAACCAAGAGCCGCAAGAGTCGTCCTCAGTGTGTCCTGCCACTCGCGAGGCGCCTGGCGAAGACCGTAGACTGGCCGTCGGAAGCTCCATTGGGTACCTGCAAGAAACGACCCAGTGAAGCGAGGAGGGCGGCGCAGCCAGATCTCCTCGTGCAGGCTGCCCTGTAGGAGAGCAGTGCTGAAGTCAAGAGAGTGAAGCTCGTAGTCACGCTAAGCGGCGACGTGCAGCAGCACCCGAAGAGTGGTCATCTTCTGGGTAGGGGAGAAGGTCTGAAAGAAGTCAACTCCCTGTCGCTGAGTGAAGCCTTCTGCAACGTAACGCGCCTTGAAGACAGGCGGAGAACCCAACGGCCGCTTCACCTTGAAAATCCACATGCCGCCGTCTCTGCAGCAGCGGCCGCCGCTGCCGTCCCTACAGCAGCGGCCGCGGCCGTCCCTTGAGCAGCGGCCGCCGCCGCCGTCCCTGCAGCAGTGGCCACCGCCGCCGTCCTTGAAGCAGCGGCCGCCGTCGCTGCCTCCTACAGTGACTCGCCGTCGCCGCCTCCTGCAGCGGCGACCACCGCTATCCCTGCAGCAGCAGCCGCCACTGTACCTGCAGCAGCCGCGCCGCCCAAGCCGCCGAGCCACCCGAGCCGCCCGAGCCGCCCAAGCTGCCGAGCCGCCCGAGCCGCACGAGCCGCCGAGTCGCCGAGCCGCCGAGCCGTCCGAGCCGCCCTGTCCGCTACACCCGGTCACTGCCGTCGCAGCCCTGTTCCTACTGGCAAGCCTTGGTCCTTCCCGCCTGCCCGATAAGAGCAGCACCTCTACCACTGCGCTGCCCTTAGCCTGCTGCTCGCACTTCTTGTGTACTGCTGTCATGGCTACCCCCAGTGTCCTCGCTTTTGACGCAGAGGGTCGGGCCATTGACTTTGACGTCTGGGTAGATGACCTGCAGCTTTTCCTACAGTGCGATAGGGCAGACGGTCTCTCCCTCTTTGACCTCACTTCTAGTGCCTCTCCTGCCCCTGCTGCTGATGCTGACGCCACTGTTTGCTCACAGTGGGCCACACACGATACTACTGCACGTCTTGCTGTGCGTCGCCACTTGCCTACCTTTGAGCGTGCGCACTTTAGCCAGTACAAGAGTGCTAGGACCTTGTATGGCGCTATAGTTGCACGCTACTCTTCCCCTGCCACTGCTGCACTTAGCCGCCTCATCCTGCCGTACCTCTTCCCTGACCTCGCAGCTTTTCCCACAGTCGCTGACCTCATTACGCACCTTTGCACTAGTGACATTCGCTACCGCTCTGCCCTTCCCGCTGAGTTCTGCGCCAAGAATCCGCCACCTATGTACATCACCCTCTACTACATAGTCACCCGGCTCCCTGACACCCTTCGTCCGGTCAGGGACCACTTTCTCTCTGTTTGCCCCACCACCCTCACCGTTGACCTCCTCGTGGAGCGCCTCCTAGCAGCAGAGAAGAGCATAGTCGCTGTAGGAGCCTCTTGGGGTGACCCTCGTGCCCGTGTCTTTGAGGGGTGCTCCCCCTCTCCTCTCTTGCCCTCTATTGCCTCTGCTGCTGCGGCCGACCTCGTTGGTCTTGAGTCGGTCGGTGCGGCGTCTGCCCTTAGCGGGAGACGCCGCACTGGCAAGGGCAAGGGGGGCAGGGGCGCTGGAGGAACTATCGGGGGCGGTGGAGGCTGAGAAAACTAGAATGAGAAATGAATGAACTATGAAAGAGTTGGGTACAAGTACTAACCCTAATTGGGTTGTACCCCTTATGGGCTACCTCACTACAGCCTACACAAAATGCATAAGCTATGATGTTCTGACACACCCCCATAGGCAAAGTGGGGGAGAACAAGGGGTCACACGACCAGACAAGCAAAGCAAAGCAAGCTCAGGGTGGATCACAAAGTCACCACACATTCCGAGCACAAGTTCAAGGCCACAAGGCCAGTTCACATGCAGGATTACATATATATAAAAAAGGCTAAACAAGCAAGAGCAGGTGCAATATATATATGTAACACTACAAACAAGGTCAAGAGGTGAGCAAGTAAGGCAAGGCAGGCACAAGACCCAGCTGAGTACAGAAGCGCTGATGATCACAAGGCGCAAGCGCCTTGGTGAAGATATCAGCAGTGTTGGCCTCAGAGGCCACGTAAGCAAGGCGCAGCTGACCACGCTGCTGCAGCTCACGAGCAAGAAAGTAGCGGAGAGCAATATGCTTCGTTCTGTGCTCCAGTCGCTGCTCCCGATACAAGGCCAGCATGGCCTTGTTGTCTACGTACAGCACTGGAGGAGAACGAGGTGGCTCTCCGAGGTCAGTCAGCAGGTAGGTGAGCCAGCGAAGCTCCTGTGCAGCCATGGCTCCGGCGTAGATCTCAGCCTCACAACTGGAGCCGAGAACAGAAGACGAGCGAGTAGCCCGCCACGAAACAGAGCCGGAACCAAGGCTGAAGGTGTAACCCTGTGACGACCGCTGCGTAGCCTGGTCATCAGCCCAAGAAGCGTCTGCGTGCCCAGTGAGGACCACTGGACTCCGCCCTCCAAGCAGAAGCCCCATGCCCGACGTACTGCACAAGTAGCGCAACACCCTCTTTGCTGCAGCCATGTGCTCCGGTCTGTGTCTCCCAGGAGCAACATAGCGTGCGAGAATGCTAAGAGGGTATGCAAGGTCAGGTCGTGTGCAGGTCATCATGTACATGAGGCAGCCAACAAGCTCTGGGTACGGGCCACACGACTCTACGGACTCATCCGAAGGCAGAGCTGTGAGCGAGTGGCGAGTAAGCAGAGGAGTGGCTTGAGGCGAGGAGTACGTGAAGCCGAAGCGCTGAAGGACCTGCTGCACCATGTGTGACTGAGTCAGGGTAATGGTGCGGCGTGCTCTGTCCCGGGTGATCTGCAAGCCAAGGTAGCTGCGCAGTTCACCCAGGTTAGTGCATGTGTGTCTCTTCTGCAGCTCGGACTTCACGTGGGCGAGTCTAGAAGTGTCAGCTGTGGCAAAGACCAAGTCCTCGACGTACACAAGGATGTAGAACGGCGGCACAGAAGTGTCGGTGCGCAGAAACAGCGACGGGTCGGCAGTAGAGGGAGCAAACCCAAGAGCCGCAAGTGTAGTCCTCAATGTGTCGTGCCACTCACGCGGTGCCTGGCGGAGACCGTAGACTGGCCGCCGGAGGCTCCACTGGGTGCCAGGAGGAAAAGTCCCAGTGAAGCCAGGTGGGCGGTGCAACCAGATCTCCTCGTGCAGGCTACCCTGCAGAAAAGCAGTGCTGAAGTCAAGAGAGTGTAGCTCGTAGTCACGGTGAGTAGCTACGTGCAGCAGTACCCGAAGAGTGGTCATCTTCGGGGTGGGAGAGAAGGTCTGAAAGTAGTCAACTCCTTGCCGCTGACTGAAGCCATGAGCCATGTAACGCGCCTTGAAGACAGGCGGAGAACCCGGCGGCCGCTTCACCCTGAAAATCCACATGCCACTGACGATGTTCGCCCCAGGTGGGGGAACCGCGTCAACGTAGGTGCCTATGGACTTCCAGGAAGCCATCTCTGCGTCCATAGCTGCCTGCCTCTAAGAGGAGTAGGGACCCTCTATCGCCTCCGCGTAAGAGCGCGGAGTCGGGATGTCAAGTGCATCCGGGTCTCCCTCAGGGGTAAGCAGTACGGACACGAGATGAGGTGAAGCAGCAGCCAAGCACTGGAACTCCTCCTGCCTGTCCTCAAGGACGTCCGTGCCAAGGGCACACTCACCCCCGACGGACGGAGGACAGACAGACTCAGACTCAGCAACAAGACTGGCGGCGTAGTCTAGACGACAGCGAGCAGCAAAGTCGACGAGCTCAGCAACTAGGGCAGACGCAGCAGTGGACTCAAAGGAAGGGTCAGTGATAACAGTAGCAAGGAGACGCGTGACAGTAGGATTGGCAGCACGAAGAGAGTCTGACTCCGGGTCGGCAAGAGCAGGAAGAGAGGACTCAGGAGGAGAAGGCAAAGGGGCATGCAGAGGAGCAGCGGACGGACGCAGGGACATCCGGTGCGTGCCAGGGACAGGAGGAGGACGCTGACGCGAACCACGACCATTAGTGCGAGCAGCACGGACAGGCGACGCAGGGCGAGACGCAGGCTCACGACGCTCAGCAAGACCTCCAGTAGGACCAGTGTAGGGAGAAGGAGCAGGTAGTGGGGAGGCGGGCTGTAACTGTAACTGTGACGGGACAGGCTGTGGACACCCTAAAGGAGGAGGAGGACCAGTAGAAGGCGGGAGACCAAGAACCTGCTGAAGGAGCGGAACGAAGTACGGCCGAGGCCGCGCGGCGACTCTAGACACAGCAGGGACAGCATAAGTACCCCCAACGGTAGCACCAGCGCCAGCAGCACCTCCAGCTCCAGGACCTCTAGCAGCACCAGTAGCACCCCCAGCAGCTCCAGGACCGACAACAGTAGCCTCAGCGCCAACACCCTCAGCAGCTCCAGCTCCAGAAGTACCCGCAGGCCCAGCTGCTCCAGTACTCCCAGTACGAGCACCTCCGGTACCCGCGGCACCAGCACCCTCAGCAGCCGAAGGACCTCGAGCTCCAGCAGCACGCCTCCAGCGCCGGGCAAACCACTCGCGCAGCTCCTGTGGAGAGAGTGGCTCCCGCCGAGACGAAGCACCCAGAGAACCGCAAGGGACAGCACCTCCAGACTCTTAACGAGCAGGCCCAGCTCCCTCAGGGTCCGCACCCCCAGGCTCAGCACCTCCACGCGTAGCACCCCCAGGCTCAGCACCCCCAGGCTCAGCACCCCCAGGCTCAGCACCCCCTGTCGTAGTACCCTCAGTCTCAGCACCCCCAGGCATAGCACCCACACGCTCAGCACCCCCAGAGTCAGCACCCCCAGGCACAGCACCCTCAGCAGCACTAGAGTCACCAACGACCTCGACAGGCTCAACTGCGTCTACCTGGGACACACCTGAAGGGGCACGACCCTGAGGGGGAAGGGGGTCTACCAGAGGGGGGGACCTGGCACAAGGAAGAGCGGCGGCGGGGGGAGGGACGGAGTGCGGTAGGGGAAGAGACGGTAGTAGGGGACCGACTCATCAAACGTGACGTCCTGGGAGGACAGAACACGGCGAGAGGTGGGGTGGTAGAACTGCCACCCTGGCGCGTCAGGGGGGAAGCCAAGGAAGACGCAGGGAGCAGCACGAGGGGACAGCTTGTCCGCAGACAAGTCGCGGACAAACGCCCGAGATCCCCAGACACGGAACACAGATGCATCGCCAACCTTCCCGCCCACAGCAAAGTTCGAGAAGTCTCCGGCCTGGAGACCCTGGGCTGAAGGTTGATCTGATGCGCCGCGTACGGAACCGCAAACGGCCACAGAAAATGGGGGCAGCCGCATGCATCATGGACGTACGGGCGACGTCCATGACCATGCCAATGCGGCGCTCAGCAATCCCATTTTGCTGTGGAGATTCTGGAAGCGTGAAGGTCTGGCGGATGCCTCGTGCACGACAGTAGGCTCGAAGAAGGCCAGAGGAGAACTCTCCGCCTCTGTCAGAGTGCAGACGCAGAACAGGAAGGTCCGAGCCGAAGCTCTGCCTGAGCTGGAGACGAGCTGCGCAGATCCAGTCGATCAACACCTCAGTGACATCACCCTTGCTGCGCAAGGGGAAAACTGTGGTGTAACGCGAGACGTCGTCAACCACCAGCAGGAAGTAGCGCTCGTGACCGAGTCCACGGACGCGGGCTGGGCCCCACACGTCCATGTGAAGCGTCTGCAGCGGGGCCTCTGTCAGAGGAAACTTGGAGGAGTGAGGGGCAGCCCGCTGCCGCCCCTTGACACAGGGGACGCAGGCAGGGGCAGGCCCCGGAGGAAGGGGAGGGAGGGACCGGGGAAGACCAGAGACAAGGACACGGGAGGCCATGCCTCAGAGACGAGGCAGCGAGGGGTGACCAAGGCGGTGGTGCCAGAGGAGAGTCTCGTGAGACAGGAGGTGACACGAGCAGGGGGCAGACTCAAGACCAGACCTGGACGCTGCAGCTACCTGACCAGACGACGTGGCAAACACCTGACCCGATGCAGCTACCTGACCAGACGACGTGGGAGGAGACGTAGTGGTCAGTGTGTACAGGCTCGACCCCGGCCGACGTGTTAACGTGGCCAAGTGTCGGCCTGTCCTAGCGTCCGTGCAGTGGGTCACCCGCTGACTCGCAGGAGTGAACTGGTGAACCCCTGCATCCTGCAGGTCAGCACCACTCACCAAGTTCGTAGAGAACGAGGGGAGGTAAAGATCAGACAGGTTGCCAGAGGGGGCCACCGGACACGGGAGGACAGTGGAGAAGTGAGCAAGGACAGGACCCCCAGAGGGGTTTGCCAGAGAGACTGCAACTGGCCGACCAAGCGGCATGAGTGTGGTGCGGTCTCGAAAGAAGGAGCGAGAAGCCCCCGAGTCAAGGGTGAAGGTGTGGGAGGCCGAAGCCGACGTAGTACCTGAGAGCGCAGACTCACCAGCACCTGAGGAAGCAGACGTACCAGCACCTAGAGCAGCAGCCTCGCTAGCACCTAGAGCAGTAGCCTCACCAGCACCTAGAGCAGCAGTCTCAATGCCCGGGTCGGGCGGAAAACACCAGTAACAGTCACCCTCATCACTAACAGTCAGAGCATACATGGTAGCAAGAATAGCATCAAAGTTGAGGTCAAAGATAGCTACTCCCGCCCTAGACAGCTCGCCCCAGCGAGGGATCTCAGTGGCCTCAGGGAACTGGTGACGCCAGGCGTCCGTCAGGCGGCCAAAGCAGCGCTGGGTGGAGTGCGCACCCCCGCACTGCTCACCCGCGCGGTCGCTGGTGCGTAGGACGTAGGTGCACGGACCAGTACCCCCACCCCGCTGGCGTGCAGCGTACCACTCACGGAGCTGCTGAGGGGGGGGGTGTCACGAGTGCGCTGCTGCTGCTATTGCTACTGCTGGCGCTGACCACCACCGGAGCTGACTCTCTGCGCAGCGCCACCCCGACCAGCTCCACCTCCTCCGCCGCCGCCTCCGCCACCTCCGCCACCTCCGCCACCTCCGCCACCTCCGCTGCCGCCGCCATCGCCGCTGCCGCCTCCGCCTCCACTGCCGCCACCGACACCTCCACCCCCGCCACCACTCCCACCACCACCCCCACCCCCACCCCCTCCACTGCCTCCACCGCCACCTCCGCCACCCCCGCCAGCCCCTCCAGCGCCCTTGCCCCCCTTGCACTTGCCGGTGCGGCGTTTCCCGCTCGGGGCAGATGCAGCGCCGACCGACTCGAAACCAACGAGGTGGATCGCAGCAGCAGAGGCAACACAGGGCAGGAGGGGGGAGGGGGAACACCCCTTCAAAGACAGGGGCGCGCGGGTCACCACAAGAGGCTCCTACAGCGACTATGCTCTTCTCTGCTGCTAGGAGGGCCTTCTCGAGGAGGTCAACGGTGAGAGTGGTGGGGCAAACTGAGAGGAAGTGGTCCCTGACTACGCGCAGAGAGTCAGGGAGCCGGTTGACTATGTAGTAGAGGGTGATGTACATGGGCAACTACAGCGTCGTACAAGGTATGAGCACTCTTGTACTGGCTAAAGTGCGCACGCTCAGAGGTAGGCAGGTGGCGACGCACAGCAAGACGTGCAGGAGCATCGCGTGTGGCCCACTGTGAGCGAACAGTGGCGTCAGCATCAGCAGCAGGGGCAGGAGAGGTGCCAGAGGTAAGGTCAAAGAGGGAGAGACCGTCTGCCCTATCGCACTGTAGGAAATGCTGCAGGTCATCTAGCCAGACGTCAAAGTCAATAGCCCAATCCTCAGCGTCAAAAGCGAGGACACTGGGGGTAGCCATGACAGCAGCAGACTAGCAGCGCAAACAGTAGGGTAAGGGCAGTGCAGTGATAGAGGCGCTGCTCTTACCGGACAGGGCGGCTCGGACGGCTCAGCGGCTCGGCGGCTCGGCAACAACTGCGGCTCGGCGACTCGGCGGCACAGGCGGCTTGGGCGACTCGGCGGCTCGGGCTGCTCGGGCGGCTCGGGCAGCTCGGCATGTCGGGCGGCTCGGGCGGCTCGGTAGGTCGGGCGGCTCGGGCGGCTCGGCGTGTTGGGCGGCTCGGCAGCAGGCGGCGGCGCCGGCGGCTCGGTGGTGACGGCGGGGCCGCGTGGGGACGGCGGCTGGGCCGGCAGAGGCGGCGCTGGGGCCGTAGAGGTAGGCGACGGGGGCAGGAAGGGCAGCGCCGGGGCCGAAGGTAGGCGACGGGGCCAGCAGAGGCGGGGCCGGGTCAGTAAGGGCGGCGTCAGGGCCGGGAAGGGCGGCGCCGGGGCTGCGGGGTACGTGACGGGGCCGCAGGGCGGCGGATCGGGGCCGGGAAGGGCGGCGCCGGGGCCGCGGGGTAGGCGACGGGGTCGCAGGGCGGCGGATCGGGGCCGGGAAGGGCAGTGCCGGGGCTGCGGGGTAGGCAACGAGGCCGCTAGGGCGGCGGATCGGGGCCGAGAAGGGCGGCGCGAGGGCCACAGGGGTAGGCGACGGGGTCGGTAGGGCGGCGGATTGGGGCCGCAAGGGCGGCGCGACGGGATGGGGACCGCGAGGGCGACGCTAAGGGGCCGCTAAGGCGGCGCGACAGGGTCGAGAGAGGGAAGCGCGACTCGGGCAAGGGCTGAGCGCGCTCCGAGCAGGAAAAAAAAAATTCAATTCGGTGGGCCCTAGGAACAGTTCCCACGAGGGAACCTGTTCGATACCATGAGAAAACTAGAATGAGAAATGAATGAACTATGAAAGAGTTGGGTACAAGTACTAACCCTAATTGGGTTGTACCCCTTATGGGCTACCCCACTACAGCCTACACAAAATGCATAAGCTATGATGTTCTGACACAGGCCGCGGTGGAGGCGGCGGAGGGGGTGGGGGTGGCGGTGGGGGTGGTGGCGGGGGTGGGGGCGTCGGTGGCGGCAGTGGAGGCGGAGGCGGCGGCGGCGGTGGCGGTGGGAGCGGAGGTGGCGGAGGTGGCGGCGGTGGAGGAGGCGGCGGCTGAGGAAGTGGAGCTGGTCGGGGTGGCGCTGCGCAGAGGGTCGGCTCCGGTGGTGGTCAGCGCCAGCAGCAGCAGCAGCGCACTCGTGAGATCCCCCCCCCTCAGCAGCTTCGTGAGTGGTACGCTGCACGCCAGCGAGGTGGGGGTACTGGTCCGTGCACCTACGTCCTACGCACCGGTGACCGCGCGGGTGAGCCGTGCGGGGGTGCGCACTCCACCTTGCACTGCTTTGGCCGCCTGACGGACGCTTGGCGTCACCAGTTCCCCGAGGCAACTGAGATCCCTCGCTGGGGCGAGCTGTCTAGGGCGGGAGTAGCTATCTTTGACCTTGACTTTGATGCTATTCTTGCTGCCATGTATACTGTGACTATTAGTGATGAGGGTGACTGTTACCGGTGTTTTCCGCCCGACCCGGGCATTGGGACTGCTGCTCTAGGTACTGGTGAGGCTGCTGCTCTAGGTGCTAGCGAGGCTGCTGTTCTAGTTGCCAGCGCGTCTGTTTCCTCGGGTGCTGGTGAGTCTACTCTCTCAGGTACTGCGTCGGCTCCGGCCTCCCACACCTTCACCCTTGAGTCGAGGGCTTCTCGCTCCTTCTTTCGAGACCGCACCACACTCACGCCGCTTGGTCGGCCAGTTGCAGTCTCTCTGGCAGACCCTGTTATAGTCACAATCGGCTCCAATGTGCCTAAAACGAAAGATAGAGTGCACAGCCGGATTTCTGCACAGCGGCTTCAAACGTTCATAGCGTTCTGGTCACAACTTCAAATGACCTGATTCAACTTGGATCTGGAGCGTCTGAACGTTTACAATAGGCAATTTAGATCGCACAATTTTACCAAGTATTGATGACACAGTGTCGGTTTGAACGACGGCACTATGGCAGCCACTATAGTCTTAGAACACAAAATAGGAAGAGATATGAAGAGTTACGAGTTGGGAATGACTCCCAGCTCCTACAAACCCCAAGAGCCAAGGTACAGTGATCTGGAACAGTGCCACACTGTCCCCAACCACGAAGGGTCTCGAAACTACCCTTCACTAGGGCCTACACCAAGTGAAATGTTACACTACACAAAGTAATGTAACTATCTTCAATATCTTGAGGTGCACCCTTTTGGCGAGCTTCGAAATCACTTGAGGCTTGACACCAAGGCTCGGGCTCTTCATCACAAACTCATCCTTGAGTTCTTGATGGGTCTGCTGCACACACTTGCGACACGCCGAACGTTCGACACAGGACAAAATAGAAACCGCGCACGACAAAATAGAAACCGCGCGCGAGACACAAACGACCGCGTAACACGCGTCTAGCGATAACTCGCTATTGACTCGACACACACACTCGACATCATGACTCAACATTCACACACAATTATAAGCATGAAATATATATTATCCCATGCCCTCATACCATTCCATACACACACAAATGCACGCACACGGACAACAAGCCGAGTGCAAACCGTAGGGTTGCACCAACAAACTCCCCCTCGGATTGTTGGCCTTAGGATATGTTGCTCTCTCAGTTCAGAGCCATCCCAGCCAGCTTGCAACACTTCCAATGCTGCTGCTCCACCAGCCTCTTAGTCATCATGTCAGCCGGCTGTCCCGTGGTCTTCACGTACCGCAACTCAACTTCACCCGCGGTCACCATGCTCCTCGTCCAATGCCACTTCACCCTCATGTGCTTTGTGAGTCCATGCAACACAGGGTTCTTAGCAAGAGCAATGGCACCCTGGCTGTCATAGTAGAGTGGGGTAGGTCCTTGCTGCTCCTCCCCCAATTTAGCCAACAAACGCCGCTGCCACACAGTCTCCCGTACGGCACGGAAGAGTGCCATGTACTCGGACTCCACGGAGCTCAAAGCTTGGTCAACCTGCTTCTTGCTCTCCCAAGCAGTTGGGCCTCCAACAACACAGCATATGTAGCCTCCCACACTTGTCATGTCCTCTGGTTCCGATGCATATGACGCATCCGAGTAGGCGGTGAGGAACAAACGCCCGGGTTCAACACCATCCGCGCCCTTTTGGCGCCTTTGTGCCGCCGCCAAGTATTGCAACCCAACGGTCGGTGTTTGGCCAAGATACTTGGCCACCCTCATTCCAGCTGATACCTGCTCCTCATTAGGCCATTGCACAACTGTAGCCAGCTGCCCGGTAGCAAACGCGACGTCCGGTCGGGTGTTTACCGCCGCATACATGAGGCTGCCCACCAACGAGTGAAAACGGCGCCTCTCCTCTTCTCCAACGCTCTCCTCCTCTGGCCCCTTCACACACTTGAACCCAGAGGGAAAGGGAGTAGCCACATGACCTTCACTCTGGCCGAATTTGGCGGCCAATGCCTCCAGGTACTTCCGTTGGTGCACTCGCATGCTCCGCTTCTCCACGTCTCGTTCGATGTGGAGCCCAAGGTAGAAGTTCACGTCACCAAGGGACTTGCACTTGAACTTGTCATGCAGCTTCAGCATCACCTCCTTCACAAGGTCAGAGGAGGGTGAGAATATAAGAATGTCATCCACATAAACCACCATGAAGCTCCTCTGCTCCCCCTCGCCAAGCATGAACAAGGAGTGATCGGCCGTTGAGGGAGTGAAGCCGATCCCCTCCAACACTTCGCGCAGCTTCATGTACCATTGCCTAGGGGCCTGCTTCAGCCCATAGAGGGCCTTCTTTAGCTTCCACACTCTGCCACTACCATCATCAAACCCCTCTGGCTGCGCCATAAAAATCTCCTCCTCAAGGATGCCCTTAAGGAATGCCGTTACGATGTCCATTTGTTTTACTACCCATCCTTTGATGGCGGCTCCCGCGAATAGGGTTCGCAGCGTCGTCGGCTTCACCACAGGGGCAAACAGCTCCTTAAAGTCCACCTTCTCCTTCTACTGGTACCCCTTGGCTACAAGCCTAGACTTGTAGCGCTCGATCTTGCCGTCGGCATCCGACTTGATTTTGAAGAGCCACTTGGACGTTATTGCCGTACGCCCCTCCGGTAGCTCCACCAATTCAAACGTGTCATTCTCCTTGATGCTCTTCAGCTCACTCTCCATGGCCTTCTTCCACTCCTCAGCATCACTACTCTCCAAAGCCTCCTTGAGAGTTGCTGGTTCTCCCGGCATCTCCACCGGAGAGAAGAACGCGAAGGCACACTCATCGTAGTCACTCTCCTCGTCGTCTCCGACCATCATTGCCGCTCCGGCCAGGGCTGTCTTGCCCTGCTTTCCCAGCGCATCATAGGTCAGCCTATTAGGGGGTTGAACTCTCCTCTTGCCCCTTCCTTCCTCCTCAGCTGCAGGGACTTGAAGGCCTTGGCGTTGCTGCGGTGTGGCTCGAATCTGTGGAGCACTCGTAGTACAGGAAGGGAGTGACGGTGCACGCTCGCTCACTTGCTGCACCTCCTCCTCTTCTTCCTCTGCATCATTGGCCTCCTCTCCCCCATTCACAAGGGAGGATTGCCTTGTGGTTGTGCTGCCGCTGCTCAGCTCCAAAGAGAGCTCCACATACTCCAAACCGGAACTCTTCACCT